TACTTGTGACCACTCAGTGTACACTACACATAGACATTAACTGATATGGTGCATACACTACTGCATGTATATTTTGACTGGTACGATATATATATACACAACACATAGACTTTAACTGATATGGTACATGCACTACTGCACGTAGGCTAACTAATATGGTATATATATACTACTGCATTTAGATTTTAATTATTACGATATATATATATATATATAACACTGTACTTGTGTTAACTGAGATAGTATAATAGACATTAATACAATTAGGCAATTTCACTCCACACTACGATTTAGATTTATAATTATTACGATATATATATATATATACACTGTACTTGTGTTAACTGACATGGTAGAATAGGCATTAATACAATTAGGCAATTTCACTCCACACTACGATTTAGATTTATAATTATTCTTTGCGAAGACCAGTTACATCTAAAGAACAAATGTAACTAAAACCTAATTTTTTTGGAAAAAAATAAAGTAAATCCTGTGTTATGGTTGGGGTTTGGATCTAAGTTTGTTCCTGTGGTACATATTTGTACGATGTTGATGTGCTAGGTTTTGGAAAATAAATAAAGTAAATCCTATGTTGTGGCTGAGTTTGGATCTAAGTTTGTTCCTGTGGTATATGTTTGTACTTTGTTCATAAGCTAAGTTTTGTAAAAATAAAGTAAATTCAATGTTACAGCTAAACTTGCATCTAAGTTTGTTCCTGTGGTACATGTTTGTATGATGTTGATGAGCTAAGTTTTGTATTCGCAAGCTTCACACAAACACATTGTTTTGGTTTGCACTTTTCAGAATCTGTGAAAGTTTCATAGTTTTCCTATTACATAATTTAGTATATACATATATATATATATATACGTTCTTTTTAACAAACGTTAAATATTTCGTTGTGTTTTACTTGGGTTTCATATACATAATTATTTAAGTCGAAAAACCGTTTTATCCATATTTTATGTACATTTTTTTCTAAAATGCCACCCCCTCACTCCAGTGGCACAGAGTTATGTCTACAGACATATAACGCTAGAAACCGGGTTTCGACACCCGTGGTGGACGAAGCACAGATAGCCCATTTGTGTAGCTTTGTGCTTACCTTCAAACAACAACTAAAAAACTAGGTGATAAACAGATTCCTAAAACATAAGAGAAGAAAAAATGCTTGAAAATAACACAACTTTTATCAAACCAATAATTTATGGAATTAAAAACTGTACTATATGACTATTATCTAGAATTATACAAGGAAGACATTTTTTGTAATTACTCGTACAAACAAGTTAACTTTCAATCCAAAGTAATTAAAATCACAAATTGATCCAACCTATTTATATCTAAAGAATAGTACTGCCCCCACGGTGAATCAGAGGTAGTCTTAAGGTTTTACAACGTTAAAATTCAAGGGGTTGGATCCCTGCCATAGGCTCAAAGCAAATAGTGTTTTACAGATTTATGCTTAAATTAAGCAAAACAATAACAATGTTTTTTAGTGGCGACATCTATTAATTATTTGCAATAATTTAAATCATAAAACTGCTTTGTATAGCTTTGTGCTGGTAATTATATAGTTCTACATGCTATAAATCTGAGAAAAATTGACTAACTCTTACATATGATGTCATGAACATGAAGACAAAATCATTAAGAAAAGACAACCAAAGGAATATAAATAAATAAATAAATATATATATATATACTTAAAATAAGACCCAAAAACTCGAGCGCTTTCGAATAGTTGACTATTCTTCTTCAGGAGAACAAACCCAATTAGAACCAGAGCAATCCCTTTCAATCACATACCTGTTAAGTCCTTTAATGCAACGACAGCGGACTTTTATTCCTTTGGTCTACCGAAACGAAGTCTTGAAAGCCAGTTTATACATATATTGGGGAGGCTGTGGAAATTTAATCAGCATATGTGGTTTAAGATTGGATTGGTATATCACTGTCCTTTCCAAAGAAAGTTGAACTGTTACAATGGAAATTGTGGTATCTGGAAATAATATATAATCGTGGCCATAAGTATGAACATAAATATAATTGAGGGGAATAGTTATATATATATATATAGATTGATGGAAAAATCGACGGGCAGGTTCTCATTTGAATCTGCCAATAACTTTACTTTGTAGGTCATTATCTGTAAAATCCCTTCAAATAACCTCACCTTTTAGGTTTTTGTCTGTACGATCTTTACCAAATATTCTATTTACTTGGACATCTTCTGTATAATTTCTGCCAATAATCTCACCCTTTACTTTTATGTTTTCATTTGTCCAATCTCTGCCACAAATTCTACTTCCTTGAACCTCTTCTGTGCAATCCCTGCCAATAATCTCATCTTTTAGGTTCTCATTTGTACCTGCTAATAATTTTACTTAGTAGACCATCATTTCTAAAATCTCTGCAAATAACTCCATCCTTTAGATTCGTATCTGTAACATTCCTGCCAGACATTCTACTCACTTGGCCATCTTTGGTATAATTCCTGCTAATACTTTTACTTAGTAAGTCATCATCTGTACATTCTGTACATTCTTTGCAAATAAACTTACCCTTTGTGCTCGCATCTGCATCTGTACAATCGTCGCCAAAAATCCTATTTACTTACTCCTCTTCTCATTAATATCTGCAATTTCTGGTAATACTTTCACTTAGTGAGCTCTTGAATTTACAATCCTTACCAATAATTTCACTTACTAGTTCATACTTTTGCCACAAAAAAGCACCTGAACAGAAGAGGTTTTAGTTTATTCTGAAGCTCATATCTTTTTAAATAAAAACACTCACTAGTGCTGGGACAAGAAGTGGATTTTAAATACTTCGGCTTTGATATTGCAAGTTACGAAACTCATTTCCTGAAAGCTCGAGCTTTCTCGAGGAATAATTGAACTTGGAATATCGAGTATATAAATTCATGACGCTTAGTTTCTAAGTAATATGAGAAACGTTAAAGCCCAATAACTCGACATTTCCGTTATCGTTCTTTATTTAGAGGTGTAATAGGGACGAAGAGAAAAAGAGAAAAAATTACGAATGACATTATAAACTTTTCTACTTATCATACAAGAGGTGGTAATAAATTTCTAATGATTATTATCACACAGCACATACTCCCTGTCTGCCATTTAATGAAACTGTTTTCTTCTGTCAATAAACGAATACATCTAGAAAAGTCACTTTCATCTTAGAGGCATTAGACTCGCAGTTTTCAAATTAAGCATCACCAACTAAAAAAAATGTAATATTTGGATATATGGTGCAAAACGTCTGTCCATGTAAATCCAGTCAAATCTTATAGTTAAAAACGTTATTAAGAAGCAAAAGCTTGTTATGAAATAAAATATTGCTGTGTTGAATAATCTGTCCTTTTTTTTATTTAATGTTTGCCATTCTCTCGACATTTCAGCATTTATTGGAGAGAGAGAGAGAGAGGAAGCAAAAGAGTCGTTTTTAGTATAAACATTGAATGAATATTATAATTAGAAGTAACAGGTACGGTCGTGTAAGATATTGGTTTTGACTTTAAGTTGAACGATCACTATGTCATTCCAATCTTTCTCGATAAGACTATTCTTAAAGATAATTAATGAATCTCACAACTAAAGGCTCGATACCTTTCTTTTCATATAACTCTAGGATTCAAATTTACAAAGCTAGAAACACAGTGTACCTCAAAACATTATGGCTCTGATTAATTTTAAGATTAATTTTAAAAGTTAGATCACCTTATCATATTTCAAAACTAAGCATTTTTAAATATTCTAGTTAATTTCCTATTTCAGTTCTTTCCAGTTTAGAAAAAAGAGACAACATAATTCCTTAATAAGTTCCAAGCACCTCACAGTGGTCGTTAAACAAAAATCAATTAAATGGGATGTCATTCTTATGATTCAGTAATCCTAACCCTAAAGAGCTGCTTAACATCAGACAATCGTTCTTATCGTTCAGTAATCTTAACCCTAAAGGATTGCTTAACAACAAACAATCATTCTTATGATTCAGTAATCCTAACCCTAAAGAATCGCTTAACAACAGGCAAACGTTCTTATGATTCAATGATGCTGCCCCTGTAGAAATAGATTTACAATGATTCGAATAATAATCAAGAAGTATCAATGAAATTCACATTTATAATTTCATTATACCTCGACCCACTAGTAACGTATTGTCACTTCATCCCAGAATTTAAAAATATTTAACGATAGGAAATTGTTCACTGATGTTAGAAATTTCCGTAAGTGAAATATTGCAGAGAGAATTCAAACCCACGAGCTTGTGTGATTGATGACATAACACCAATGAAGTGGGACTGAGTCACAGTTAAATCACATGTCCCAAAAATATAGTTGCAGGTTCGAATCACTCCTGCCCCCCAGTGGCACAGCGGTATGGCTGCAGACTTACAACGCTAGAAACCGGGTTTCGATACCCGTGATGGGCAGAGCACAGATAGCCCATTGTGTAGCTTTGTGATTAATTACAAAGGCAACAAACCTTCATATTATAAACTTATTAGTTACATATCATTTCATATTATTCGTAATAAAATTATGCATCAATTATGAATTTTAAAATTATGAATAACACAGGCTAGTAAAAAAAAAGGGGGGACCGGCATGGCTAAGTGGTTAGGGCGCTCGACTCGCAATATGAGGGTCGCGGGTTCAAATTCCCGTCTCACCAAACATGCTCGCCCTTTCAGCCGTGGGAGTGTTATAAAGTGACGGTCAATCCCACTATTCGTTGGTAAAAGAGTAGCCCAAGAGCTGGCGGTTGGGGGTGATGACTAGCCACCTTCCCTCTGGTCTAACACTGCAAAATTAGAGACGACTAGTGCAGCTTTGTGTAGCTTAACGAGAAACAAACAAACAAAAAAGGGATTTAATTCGAAAGCATGTTCTGGTTTTTCGCAAAAAACTGAAACGTGTTGTTATAACACCTTGGCAATCTTAATAAGTCTACATTCACACACATCAATTTCCATAGAAAGTTGAAAAATAGCGCTGTGATTTAATCAGAAAACAAACAAACTTGATTCTTGTAATTATAAGTCTACATATTGATAACAATTGAATCAACATAAGCTTATTTGTATTCATGCAGAAAATGAAGCTGGCTTATAATTTTTAATAAGAACAAATAACCTAACTTATTCCTCATTTAACGTCCAGCGCCTACAATACTGTAAGGTATACGACTTTTATTACATGTGTAATTAATTCCTAAATCAGTGATTTAGAATGTTACAACATTTGATACAACATTTATAGAGCAGCCCACCAGTTTCTTGATATTTGTTTGCACAGTTTTAATGACTGTTATTAATTCTCCGATTTAAATGCATTTGATACGTTTTCAATATCAGTTGAAAACATTATTGGAATATTAGTGTAATATGCTTTTAGTAATATTATAACTGATTTTTCCCAACACTACATAAATCAATATAGAATTGTATGGTTATAGTTAAGTTAAAACACATTCTTTTTTTTTACTTGAATTTGTTAGTTTTATTTTTATCTTTCGATAAAACTTAACTTAAATACGAATCTTAATTCTAGTCATCAGTGTTTCCGGGCAAAACTTCTGAATTAAAAGTTTGTCTATCTAAGAGTAATTTCCAAAACACACACACACACACATACACAATATTTTAGCTTTATAATGATGAAAACGAAAAATAAACAACAAAGAAAATGATCAGAAATGTACTTTTGTAGGTGAAGTACGGTAAAGATACGTTTAATAATGCTATCACAAAAATAAGACTTCTCCACAAGAATTTTAAGAATTTTACGAATTACAAAGGTAGAACTTACAAACCATTCATTTTTAGGTTGTGATATGTGAAATAATTCAAAATTAACTAGACTTTCTATATTAATTTTCATTTCGCATTTCCTCTATTGAACATCATCTACTTAAGTAGCAAGTTAATTATTCAGGAATTTTGATTCCATTGCTTGAATACATTCCTTGTAAGTGTATAGTATTTGTAATTATGGCAAAGCTTCTAAGGCTACTTGCCCCTGTCGTAACTTTGAACTACTAACCAAAGCGAAGGCAGCCAATAAGCAGCATCCTACCAGTCACCATCCGCGCTAAAAGACTGACTATCACTCTTGTAACGCACCCACAGCTTGAAGTGCGGGAAATATTTTGTGGTATGACACGAATTCTATCTAACCCAACTCACCAGCTCTAAAATCTAGAGTTCCATCACAAGGCCATCTCGCGCCCGTGTGTATAGAATGTGATAAACACTATTATTCACACTGTCCTAAATTGTCAACAAGAACAACAAACATACGCGCAAATAAAACCAAAAACCAAAGCAAATTGCGTCTTTCTAAAAATTACAACTCTACCTGAAATAAGTGGAAAATGAGCATATCATTATTGGCTCCTTTGCAGAGCAGTGATATCCCTCATTCAGAAGTTAGGATTGTTTGGAACTCGTCAAATATTTCGTGGACACTATATGTATCGTAGGCTAAAAATCTTTAAAAAATATAATGGGCCACAACCTTATTATTTATATATTATAAACAAAGAATTTCAGGAACAAATTTTTGAACAAAAAGGATGCATGATAACCTATCTGATGGGACCAGTCTCACCCCTTCTAACATATACTGATACTAAATCTACCATAGAAACTAACTGATTCGCTATGGTTCTCATAGGACCAGTCTCACCCCTTCTATCATTAACTGATGTTAAATCAATCAACTGATTTACTGTGGTTCTGATGGAACTAGTCTCATCTCTTCTATCATTAACTGATACTAAATCTACCATAAAAACTAATTGATTTACTATGGTACTGATGGGACCAGTCTCAACCCTTCTATCATTAATTGATGCTAAGTCTACCATAGGAACTAACTGATTCACTATGGTACTGATGGGACCAGTTTCACTCTTTGTAAGATGTACTGATACTAAATCTACTATAATCTACCATAGAAAATAACTGATTTACTATGG